ACCATAAACATTGAAGGCACGATTTTTCATCGTAATATATTGAATTTGAAATGATCCTCTAATCAAATCTACTATAGGTTGGATGCTAATTTCTGCCTGCCCTTGGCTATTGAAAGTCTATTTTTTACTCAGATCAAGACAAAAGAACCCTATTATAAGAGACATGAACCATCTTTGTACTAAGAATGCCCAGGTGAATTAACATGCACTGAGTACAGTAACAGCACATTGTTCAAACATGATACCACACATTTGGTGGGCTGGAAAGAATGTTCTCCAGTTTATACTGCTGAATGAGCAGTCGGCTGGCACGTCAAACCCACAATGTCCCTGACACGAGGTGAATATTCTAACCACTGTACCATGCTTTGATTAAGAGAACCAAACTGGACTGTGCTTTGGTTGAGTGAATCATACACAGTGACCCTGATGCAAGGCAAACATGCTAACTATCGTACCATGCTTGAGGTACAAGTTGTAATTTACAATCTTACGATAGTCCTCGTCATCATTTTAGTGTCTTTCACATTCAGAATAATACTTGCCCCCAGTATGCACGATTACAACACATTTCTTCACAGGCCGATGGCGGTCCAGGTACAAGGTAAAAGATGATGTAACCATACAAGAACCACTTATTATTTTAATATCTGGTACCGTATTAGTGGTACCAGTAATATCTTTTGTCAGGAGGAAAAACAAGAATGCACAAGAAACACTGTTACATGCATTGTACATGTTTATTGATGACAACAATTTTTTTAGCACAGACGCTAGAAAGAACAGTTACATGCAAGTGTCAAAGGAAAGGGACTGGCAATGGTAAATGTTTTTTAAATGTGACAAATAAACGTTTGCCACAAGTTTTGATCCCTGACTATTCATGCATGTAAATGGTGAATCTTCAGTGCAAAAAAATCATCAGTATTTGGACAGCACTTTAAAGGGATCAGTCGCACATTGCTGTAAATAAATAGCCATATGTGTAGCTCATAAATCATTCAGACCAACAATTCACAGCACATTATATAAATTGAACTCAATAATAGATGACTGAAAAATGTGAGAGATACTTTTTTTGCAAATCTTGCTAGATGTGGGAAAAAACACAGATATTTACAGAAGGGTTGTTTAATAGTCAGCACAGTGACTTTCATAAACTATAGTCCATTTGAATGCATTATTGCTTTATTTTCTAGCAGCAAAAAATTAATGTTTTTCATATTTACAATTAAAGTATACAAAATGGTGTACACACAGTCCTCCCATAAAACACACAGACTTTGTGCGAGACCTCCAAAAATTCACACTTCAAGGTACTTTCTCGGGGTACAAATTTACTATCAAGGAGGATTCTAAAATAATCTAAAGCAGTTTAAACATGAAATACAAAGTTACTAGTGTTATACAGTAATGATATCCCTCCAGAAAATACCAGAATGTGCAACCTGGGGGGGGGGGGGGGGCATGCACAAGGCCCATTTAGTATTGGTGCTGGGTTATCAATAAAGAAATAAACCATTACTGTAACAGTATTCAACTAAAATATGTAAATAGATTCAAAATTAATTTTCAGAAGTATATGGATAAACATACATGATTAGTGCCAGTAAGCTCATCATAATGACAATTCAGTGCCTAATAACGGTACAATAACACAGTGACTTAACTTCACCTTACAGCTTTAATAGTATTCTACTCACTACTATAGTTAAGGCCTAGAGAATAAAGTATATATCTTTATGGTCATCAAACACAGCAGTTATAAATGTAAGTGTTTGTTTTCTTTCTTTCTAAGTTTTTTGTGGTAATTTCAGGGAAAATGAAACACAAATTTTCATGAAAACAAGCACATTTCATAAATAAGAGAAACCAGGTGAATTTATTTTGTCAATCTTTTCATCCATTTTGGTATGTCTGTTTGGAGTCACCCAGGAAACACATTTTTTTTTTTATCCAGTCCTAATTGGATTTGATCCACTCCTACAATGATTTCCTGTCAGCATGAAGCTCTGGTTCCGCTTTCAGAAATGAGAAACAGCACAATTCAAGCATACACATGCATTGAAAGGAACAAGTCTGTTGTCCACTGAAATCACATGCTCACTTTCAGTTTGACAATTGAAGATATTAAAGACAATTTTGCCAACAGTACAACTTTGAAACACGGCAATTATTTTTGCCATAGAGGGCATACTTCGAACAAATAAAAATACAAAAGGTTGATGTGACTATGATTTTGCTGACACACATGACCACCAGAAAAACCATTTTCTCATTTGCACCTTAGTATTATTACTATTAGGTATGAAAATTATTCATGAGAAATGTAACAAATACAAGTATGTTAAGAGTGTAGAAAATATTGTTGCACTTTATGGCAAAAACAACTTGTATCCTCGGGGCGGACATCCAAGCATTTTCACTAAAATTAATTCCAAGCAAAAATAAAGTATTCCACAGTATATAATCAATTAAAAAATAGTTTTTTTACATATTGTCACTATTCTCATCTTGGTTCACAAGTACGTTGGTAACTGCAACTATATTCTCTACATACTTGTTGAGATCATGGACACCATCAGATTTACTGAAGTCTGTCAGATTGTGCAGGAGTCCACTACGTTTAGGATCAAAGTCTTCAACCTGTAGAATAGAACACGCACGCATGAGACAAGCAAACATACTTACTGGTAGCTAACCCTATAATTTCAATATTTCAAGACATAGCTAAATTCAACTGAAAGTAAATACTAAAATGACATGGTTGAGATTCTGCTAATAGGTTCATTGAATTGCATTAACATGCATATAGCTATTTCAAAGTGTTGTCAACTTATTCATTTGGTGAAACACAACTATCTACTATTTATTGTTACAACAACAATATTAGTAGTGTAAACACTGGGGGTTCTACACTGACTTATGAAATTTCGCTGTTTTAAAGCGATCATACCATGAATATGGTGAATGTTTTATGAATTACTGTACATACCTGAGGAAATGGTAAATGGTCCCTATCATCTGGTAAAGGTGGAATGCCCAATGTATCAACAAAATGGTCATTGAGTATTGGGTGACACTGTAACAATAAGATGCATGTTATTGCATGATCAGACATTCAATGATACTGTGTACATTGTACATCTTACTACTGGAAAGAGAAATCAACACTTTATTGCAGTTTGAGGTCGACTTGATATCAATCTCACCAATATCGATGGGAGTTTTTAGATTCCAAATTCTCATCAATTTGAAGGAATTTAAATTTTCATCATTTTTTTAAATATTTTCACTGACAAGCTGGTGAGAATTTGCATTCTTATCAATGAAAATTTGGGTTCTAACAATTGAATGGAGAGAACACAAACACTCATCGGCATCAGTGAGAATAATATCAAGTTTTGGCAAACTGCCATCATTAGTGGTCTGTATTACAATATATTGATGGCTCAATCATGTATTATGAAAGCAAAAGCCATTCTGACTAATTGAAATGTTTTCAGATTTTTGATCCAGTACTTTTTTTCATAAGCTAAACAAAATGTGAATATATTTCTTCCAGATTCTAACAGTGTAAATCATTTACTAATTGGTTCTGATTTTGATATAAACATATCCATCATCACAAATTTCAGTTACGTACTGTTCAAGAGTCAATCTCTGAGCTGTTTATACTGTGCAGATACATGGCAGTGGTCTGCAGTAATTTTTAACATTAATGATATATCTGTTGAAGTTTCATTAAAATCTTTGGAGCAGTTCTTGAAATGTAGATGCTTTAAAAAAAATTTCTACCTTTTTTTTCCACTTTGCACCATTTGATTCAAACTGTTTTATAGATTCATCTACATTGACAAGTTCTTCTTCTTTCTTTTTCAAACACCTATAGGTTTATAAGAAATGGCATGAAATGGAGACATCTCATGTTTTGTGAGCGCATCAACACAAGTACACATTCATATACCGGCATACCAGAATATCATCCCACGTACATGTAGGCTTCTTTTTCCCAACCAATCACCAACTCATCATTGCACACACAGCTTAGTGACTTTCCTTGAGAAATTCCTCCTTCCGACTCATTCATAAATTCAGATTCAAAGAAGAAGCCAGATACGAAGTCTTGATATTATTTCAATTATCGACATGCGAGCCTAGCGTACATGTTATCAGTTTCATCTGAGTTAAAGATTATCTAACATGGCCGATAAAAAATGTGCACATCATTTTATTTTTTTGACATTTCTTAGTGCATGCAGTTATGGAAAACAATTGATTGATTTATTTCACTAGAAAAAAGTAATATACAAGGTAATATACGGTAATATGTACACAATTTGAATAATTCTGGTGTGGACCATGAAAATAGTTCAGCAGAACTCGCCAAGTTCATTGCCCTATCACTTAAAACAAGTCATTGAAAATGACACAGTCCCCGTTAAATTTTTGAAAGTTCTCTTTGCGCTCATCATATTAAAGCGGAGGGGTTGTCTCAAGCGTGTCCTTGAAACTTGAGTTCCAAGTGGCGTATACAACAGATTGTTTATTTACATCAAAACCGTGTTCCGTGTAGTAGTAATATGGCCAAAAATAAAAACAGCCGTTATTTGGCCATCTTAGATCTGATTATGAAACACACTGATATGTATGATGTATGTGCCAAATACAAATAAAAATGGTACATAAATTGTGGAAATATAGTAGTAAGGCCAAAAAGTCAGATGGCTGTCAATCGGCCATCTTTGACCAGATTTTGAAACAAATTGTCATGGACATGCATCCTAACATGTTTACAGTACATGTATGTGCCAAATTTGAATGAAAACTGACTGACAGATTACATCTTGTTTTTGTTTTTTTATCTGGTATCTTGGACGTGCCAAGATACCAGATAAAAACAAACAAACAAGATGCCTGCCAGTCGACCATCTTTGATCCAATTGCGAAATAAATCGTTATGGACATGTATCCTACCATGTATAATCTATGTACCAAGATTGAATGACAACTGACAAAGCATGTCCAAAATACAACATTCTCAAAAACAAGATGGCTGCCAGTCGGCCATTTTGAATCAAATCGCTAAACCACTGCATGTGCATATGTCCCAAATAAGGTACTAGGCACATGCAAAGAATGAACTGAATCGATCCACAGGATCCTGAAATATGACTCTGGACAGACTGGCGCACGGACAGACAGACACACGGACGGACCGACCGACAGACAGACTCAGAAACTCACAGACGGTCAGGGACATGTATCCTAACATGTATGATCTATGTACTAAATTTGAATAAAAACTAACAAAGCATGTCCAAAAAACGACATTTTCAAAAAACAAGATGGCTGCCAGTCGACCATCTTTGATTCAATTGTGAAATAAATCGTCATGGACATGTATCCTAACATTTATAATCTATGTACCAAGTTTGAATGAAAACTGACAAAGCATGTCCAAAATACAACATTTTCAAAAAACAAGATGGCTGCCAGTCGACCATCTTTGATTCAATTGTGAAATAAATCGTCATGGACATGTATCCTAACGTGTATAATCTATGTGCCAAGTTTGAATGAAAACTGACAAAGCATGTCCAAAATACAACATTTTCAAAAAACAAGATGGCTGCCAGTCGGCCTTTTTGAATCAAATCGCTAAACCACTACATGTGCATATGTCCCACATAAAGTACTGGGCACATGCAAAAAATGAACAGAATCGGTCCAAGGGATTCTGAGATATGACTCCGGACAGACGCACGGACGAAGACCGTATTATAAGTCCCTGTTTTCAGACTTCGTCCGAACGGGGACTAATAAATGACTAGTATGAAAAGAAAATGGTATGGTAACATAAATGAGTACCGGTAAGTACGTAATCAGAAAAAAACACGAGTAAATTAAATATCTAAGTTAAAACAAAATAGCAGTAAGTGGTATGCATCATTTGGACGACAGGATGCTCACTGTGATATAAGCAATTTTTTTGACAAGAAACTTTTAAATTTTCCTTCTGAGCCCAACCATCCCTTACTATCATGGGACGTTTCAAGTATCTACAATAGTAAATTATTCAGCTGCGACTTACTCGTCTAGTTTTTTCATTTGTCCCTCCATGACCATCATTTGGTTAGATCCTTGCAGTAAAACCTCATCCATATATTTCTATTGAGAATAAAATGGTTAACAAATTATATTACATACATGTATCAACTATTTTATAATTTTTGTATCTATCATCAGTGTATCATGTTCGATCCAGCTTATATTTCTGCTGTTGACTTTATAAGACTGGTTGTCAACATAATAAACAGGCAGTAGAGGGATGTGATCTTTTACTCACGGAAACAATCTTAACCTTTTTGTTGGACCCAAATTTATCTGCATTTTTTTTTTATTCTTCGATATTTCTAGAAATTAACCCTAAATAGTGAGGCCAACAGGCAAAATTTGAGTAAATTTTCAGTTTTACTTGAAAAATTTAGCTATTTTTGTTCCAAACTTCTGAAGTAAAATACAGAATATAAACGGAACTATATTTGTGAATTTGTGATGAAAAGAGGGAACTGGTGGTGAAAAGGTTGACATAAGATTTTGTGGAATTTGTGAATACAAATTTTGTGAAAGTCACTGACACTCTTTGTTGTAGAACCCTGGAGAAAATTTCACTACTACAAAATTTCTGCAATTTTCATTGACTTGACTCACAAAATTAAAGTGGTTTACACAGTTGGTCATAGCATTTTGACAAACAAAATTTAAACTCCATTGCGAAGTACCATGGTTAGGCAACAACCTTCTCGATATAGGTGTGTGTGGCTAGTACAATACTTGACAACTACCGGTATGAATGTACAAATTACAAAAAGTTTTCTAATGTTGATATTGCAGTACAGCTTGCATGCATTTTTGCACTCGCATAGCCAGCTTGTACATCACACTTTGAGTGCATCACCTTTGCATCCTTTTTTCAGCGTAGTGGTGCATGATCTAAATTCACTTTGAAAAATCACAAATATTTCTGACTGTCTTCGATGATTCTATGTCAGCGAGATCATGTTTTTTTAATTTAATAAAATTAGCATGACTATTTGCGTGTGTGATAGATGGACAATGTTAATGGTAGATGCCACGACAAGAAATGCACTAGGTTGAATGAAAACTGACTATGCAACATCTGACCATGAACCAACAGTTAGATATATATAACTTACACACTGATTGTCCATCCTTTTGTAGTCATTGTACCTGACAGGTGGTACTTTTAATTGAGTCAGCCTAGATAAGAGTCTAAAAAAATAACAGCATATATAACAAACATCATTTACAAATTTTATCCAGTATCTTTCCCTTTCTATGGTATGGTAAACGTTGTTTATCACAACGATAAAAGAATGTCAAACTGCACTACAGTAATTATTCACATGATTACATTGTCTAATTCTATGCACTGTCTGCCATGACTAAACGTAGTAAATTAAGATTTTTGTTCAAAATTTAATAAAAATCTCAAGAAGCCCAGCCATTCCTTGTTTTCGAAACTCATTTATCACGTATACTATTGTCATTGCCATATTGTTCTGAACGCCAAAACATCAACATTGCCAGCTAAGTTGCTGAATGATTTATTATGCACGTCTCGAGATCGTTACATGATTAAAACTGGTTCAAACCAACTTTATGCAGGTGCGCAATTCGGCAAAATGTGTTCATTTATGGGTATTATGAAATACAGACGTACCATCACTGTGTTACCTATAGATTTTGTTTGGATAACTTTGGCATTTATTATTTATATACAAATTTATATGATTGAATGACAATTTGTAAGGCATTGCATCGTGATCTTCTATTTATATTTAGTGTGTCCGAGTTAGACTATTAGATTGACATCTCTTGTCTCAACTTGTTCCGATCGCATAACAATCTCCAAGCGTGCATAGCTAACCAGTCAAATACTTCGCTGGCAATGTTGCTGTTTTGGTGTTCAGAACAATATGGTGGTGACAGTAACACTCAAAAAAAAATCTAGAGAGCACCCAGATTGTGTGTAATCACCATAGATTTAACATGATTCAAAAACATTCATTTGTGGCTGTCCGCGTTGGTGATGCAATTAAAACCACTTTTTAACACCTGAAACAGGGTTTTTCAAAAAGAAGTCCATATTTTGGGAAATTCAAGACTCACGTTTTTTGCATCAAAATTTATGCGTTGAGAAGACTCATCTATGCTCAATAAAGTCAAGCCCCATACTGAAGTTGGCAGACAGAATGTCTCTATTGCACAATTTGAAAATTCCTTGCATTTTTAAGGCATTTTTACTCTGAAAGTGAAGGTGGTTGATACTCAAGGTTACTCACTCTTATCAGCTGTACCATATCATGTGATATGAGATTTTAAATACATCTTACCTGGCTCTCATAATGTTTAGATGCTCTTGCACATTACTGTAACTTACAGCACTTGTATCATTCAATGTTGACCTATTAAAAGAATATAAATACTGTCTGTATTGTGTAGAGTGTATATGTTATGCCAAACATAATGCCTGTGGAAATATTATCAAAAAGAAAAAAAATGTTTACACAAGTGATACACAAAAGCTTGAAAACAGACAATTCTGTCGTATTTGTCACAGTTAAAACATCACCAGCTGAAAGCCTCCACAGCCGAAATTGTCAGCAGATGTGTTACTGGTGAAACTCCTTGATACTGATTAGAAATCACGTACAAGGTAGCCAATCTTTTTATACTAGTTGCCAATAAATCAAAATTTAAAATACTGTTGGGTAAGTCATGAGAATTGGCCAAATGCATACTTTGCATTTTTAACATTATAGCCATTTCAGCATTGGATGCTATGTACGGTAATTCCTCATGCTCAGTTACATTACAGTTAAATGCAATAAAACGCTTATAATGTGATATAATATGTGGCATTTTAACATGGAATCCTATGGTTAAAAGTAAAAATGCAAGCTTTGCCAAATCGTATGAAAAAATCTCATGACGCGTAATCTCATGACATGCACATTTTACTACTAACGTAGGCAATAATGTAACTGAATATATAGCCTATGATGTATTATTGCTGCAACTCGGGCTACAATGCATATTGGACCATCCAGTGTCGGCCATAGCTGGGGTAAGATTTATTTCAGATTTCTCACTGAATGCACTTACATGATAGCACCATCTATCATGTTGACAACCACATCCTTTGTAGACTTTTGTACTGGTTTCCATTTACCAAGAGTCCTTGCTGAAATTTTACGTTCCGTATACACATCGCTCTCTTTTTCTAAAATAAGACAAACAACATTTGATTAATAAGTCAATGATACAAAAACTGTGGCAGTGAATTACTGCTACAAATGTCATTGCATTTTATTACAGTACACATGTTAATCATAGCAAAATAAATTACAGTAAAACATTTATTCCTTTGCAATGTTATAATTTGAACATCTTTGTGAAGATGTAATTTCATGAATGAAGTCACTCATCCCTCTGCATTAACGACCCCCAATAAAATTGTGTGATTTTCCTTAATTTGTGAAATTTCGCAAAAATTATACTCTCATGAAATAAAAGCAGTATAGTGTTATACAGTACCTTGTGGTGGTCTTTGTTTTTCATGCCTCGTCTGCTTGGCCTTAAGGATAGACAACCATAACGCATTGTTATATTACTACAAGTATAGATTATATTATCTCACAGACCCTCTATCACTGGTCTGGAAACGCCTATTGTTTTACATGTACGTGTGAATCGGCGGGATTAGTGGGCTAACGCTTGTAACGGCTCTCCGCGAAGAGCGGTACTATACTGTTGATAGCTTCGAGATACATCGCGTTCAGTGCTGTGATATATTGTTTAACGTTTCCAGAACATATTCGATACCGTATACAAATATTTTTTACCATAGTTGATTCGTAACGTCTTTGTTTTAAAGGAGAGTAAATTTCGTTGTATACAATATGTTGATGCTAGACGTTTTCTTGTGTGAAATTATGTCTTTTTCACCTTTTGTAGTAGAGGGACTGTGCCATGACTTGTAAACTGACTTGTTTTTTCTGTTCCTCTCATTAACGGTACATTCTTGACAACATGACAACATTTGTGTTTTTGGTAGATTTGAAATATGTTTAGCACAATGGTCATGTTGAATATACGATTTTGATGATTGTTCGTTCAAAAAATGACACTTATTTTTAAGAAGTAAACGGCGTGGTTAAAAACAAAATGGCCGGTCCCAGTTACGATGTTGTACACATTTTACTTCGGTAATTTTTTTTTCCCTGCTTATTTTGTTTTTCAGGCATATTAATTTGCAACAACTATGTATATCGGCAACACAATCAATTGAAATACTGTTTAATGTCACAAGATGTATGATTTTTGGGTCTTGGTTTTGCACGTCATTGTATTCACGACGGCGCCATTTTGGATCACATCATTCTCTCAATCGTATAATTGTAACGCTAGTTTCTGTTCCGATTACAAGGGAATGGGGTGATTCTCCAATTCCATTTTTATTTGGTGATTAAAGAAACTACGGGGGATACTTCTGAAACTAATGGGGTGGTTTAATTCTGTTTGGGATGTAATAAAGAGTTTAATTTCATAGAAAAAATTTGTTTACGTTCAGACAGCAGTTGTGGAGTTTTGACAGGCGTATGGATTTCTTCCTCAATGACATCTTTTAAAACAAAATCCCATTCAATGTTGTTATCTTCGAATTCGACAAAATCGCTGTAAGCCTTCCACATGGTAATGTTGTGATCAGTGTGCTGGTAATGACGCATGCGCAATGACCCAAATCGCCAAGTATCATGGTAAATTCCAGTGGGCTAATGATATGCACGACTACATCAATGGGAGTTTATTTATGGGATAACTTGTCGTAAGGTGTCAGCGATTTATTTGCCTGTTACGAGGGTTAGTACAATAGAATACTAAGCGTTTTCAGACCGGTGATAGAGGGACTGTGTTTTGACAAAAATGGACAATTTTATGAGTGATTTGTGAAATTTCATAGTTGGGTAAATTCACTGTAGTTCCTTCCAAATTGCATTTGTTCTATACTGAATCCTTAAAATATTATTTTGACCGTAGAAACACCACTGTAATTTACATAAGCACAGGTGCTACTAATATAGAAAATCCGTTAATGAGCGGTACCTGGTGTTTGACTGCTGCAGCCTGCTGTTGTAGAGTCTGCTGCTGCTGTTGAAGCTGCAATAAAGAAAATGTGAATTTGAAAGAAAGCATGTCGGCACCTCAGTCATGAGTGAAATAGTTGCAGTGCATGCTTAGGCCTTCACAAAAAAATACAATTTGAATATTTTTTTTGTATTAAGATTATTATTACAAGATAAAGTTTAACATTTAATATATAAAAAAATTTCCGATACATGCATTAAAGATTCTATTCTGACTGACAAAGCATCGCTTTGAAACAAGATACAAACATTTCCTCATTTTACCATAGGTGGCACACTATCACAAAATTTCATGTGTGAATGATTTGGCTAAAAACAAAATGCTTTCCTCATTGCTTAAGACCAAGCCTTTTCTTTTTTAGCATCACAAGTTTATTAGATAAAGAAGCAACTTAACGTAATCATAGTTTTTTTCCAATATCAATTCAAAACATTCTTACTTGTTGAAGTGCTGCTGTTTGCTGCAGCACTTGCTGTTGTTGTAATGAAAACGCAGAATTGGCTGCAGCTACAGATGCAGGAGATTGTGTTACATGAGTCAGATTCTGAGAGTAGATTGAAGCTGGACTTGGTCCTAATAATGCCTGAGCTTGTTGCTGTTGTTGTAGCACTGCTTGCCCTGAAAAAAACACACCAAGTACCATATTTTGTTCTGGATGCATATATACAATGTGCAACTAGTTTGATATTGCTAAAATATTGGAGAGTCAGTGTTATATTTTTGCACGTTTAAGCAATTCGTAAACAGTGTTGCTCAGTGGTGAAATAAGTGAACAAAAAAGATTGGCTTGTACCCCATTTGGTGGTGTGCATTCTGACCAGAAACATTTTTGTTGTTGTATATCAACATAATCTAGAGAGACCCTAAGTCTATGGCAAGTATATCAAAGTAATCTAGAAAAACCCTCAAGTTTCAATTAAGTCTGTCAATATAATGTAGAGAGAACCCTTAAGTTTCAGGTATGTCTATTGAACAGATGTCCTAATAAGCAAGCTCTTATGTAGCGAAAGCGAAAGTGAAAACATACCAGCTAATGATGCATTTCCGGCTGCAGCAACAACAGCTGCCGCTGCAGCAGCATGTCCCCCTGCTGCAGCCTGTAGTGCAGCCCAAGGTGGATCCTTGCGTGGCGGGCCTGCAGTTCCAGCAACACCATATTGAGCCATTCTATTATATCAAATCAAGCTTCAAAGAATACACCTAGAAAAAAATGTCAGAAGACATCATTATGAGTAAAAACCCAAAAAACAACTATTTGATGATACAAACCTATCAGCTTGAAAAATAGTACACATGGCGTAAACACAGACAGGATTCTTGAATACATTCCACTCTATGTGTAGGATACTTCTCTTTCCCATGGGTATGCTGACCATTAGCACATGTTATGAGTATTTGATCATGAGAATGTTTGATTACATGACCTAGTTTCCTACAAATGGACAAAAATCCAATAACTTGCCAGCTATGCGGAGTTCAAAACGGCAGTAGGGCTTGAATTTCCATGTTGAAAAGGACACTAAGGCCAAAATTTATAAAACAGCCTTAGAAGATAGAAATGACATAAATGTAGGAAATATCAAAGGGCATCAATAAAATTCAAATGAATTTTTATTAACTTTAAATAGCATTAAACAGGATGCTGAGCAAATACTGGGAATTAAACACATACTATACAGAATACGAGATTGGGTTCGTTTCTGTCAAATTTATACGCATCTTTACATTTCCGTCACTTTCACAAAATGAAGTTTGAAATAAAATTGCACACAATAAAACACATTTGTTATTACCAAAATTATTTATAAACACCATATGGTATGTTTTTGTCCCTAAATAAATATATCATTTAATTCCTCAGATGTGATGTGTTCATTTAATATTCAAATATAATCTACCATAAACAGCTGTTCAAGGCAATCAATACTACATTTTTATTACTGAATTTTACAAAGCATTGTCATCAAAATTACAGTCCTTCACACAGGTTTATCTATTATTTACAAATATTTGCACATATATTAATGTACATTACAGGTAAGTTTCTATGGGAAAAAGGCATTGTCCTTACACAGTTTTTTTAGTGCTAAACTAAAATCAAAGAAAGCTTAGAAAGAACTCCCATGTGCTGAGAGTATTGAAGACACATTAAATATAATTTGAAATTACTTAGCTGGAAACTAATTATGCAAATCAGAAAATTAATATGACCAGATTTGAGTGTAAAACTAATGAGGTCTGCGCAATGTAACAGAAAATCTATGTCTCCAAGTTTAATTGAAATGTGATTAGAACCAAAAATCCAAAAAATTATGAATTATTATGCTTATTAGGGAATTAATATGAACAGATTTTTACTCCAAACTAATTAGGTTTGTACATTGTCCTAGAGCATCTTTGTACTAAGTTTCATTGAAATGGAATAATTATTACCGTGAAAACTCCAAAATTTCGAC